CCTGTTTTTTCTTTTCTACCTACTCCATACATTGTTATTTGTTGTCATAAGAGTCTCGTTCTGTTTTAAAGATGGCCGCCGCGTGAATATCACACTATTAACACTGTTATACACTGTATATAACACTGTTATAATACATGATATCTATGATCGTTACCGTATATGATACCCCAAACTGCATGCAGTGCCCCTTTTCGCACACTCAGGATACGTAGTAACCTGTATGATACAGGCGGTATACATGTTTCGCTTCACTACACTATCTACGTGTACGGTGAAGTGTAGTGAAGCGGAACCGGAACCGCCTGTATCATACAGGTTAGATACGTAGTAGATTGAGACAATGAGCGAGAGCGCCATCTGTCGTGAAGTTTGATGATACCCCTGCATCTCTTGTTTGTTTGCCCTAAGAGCCTCGTTCTGGTTTAAAGATGGCCGCCGCGTAATAGCCAGCACCCACAATGCACCCACAAAACATCGCGTTAGTATTAATTTGGCGCGATATAAATCATTTAACAGCGGTAAAATGATAGCCCTTTTACCCAATCAGAGGCCTTAAATTGTTATACATAATTTAACTACTGATAAATTATTTTTACCACGGTAGAATAAATTTATGCCCGGTTAAATGTGTTATACGTGTGCTTATTCTTCGATTACGAATCATGATCGCTATTATCGTTACTATAATATTATTGTGAATATTATTGCATGTGTCATCGAGATAGAAATGATTCCTATTCATGTATTCCTTCCATTATATTAAGTGAACGATAACCAATTTGTTAACAAAGAAAATATCAACAAGATTTATTATGCATCGATATACCGGTACAGGCAAAATAAAACAACGTGACAGATTCTACCAATAATACAGCCATGTATATCCAGCACTATGGCAGTTCTACAGCAGAATAAAAAAATTATAACTGGTATACCATGCAGGACGTTGATAATGGCGGGGGCCTTTACTAATTCGATGCGTTCAATGCAACGATTTGTAATCTATTCCTTCACGCGGGAAACTCCACCATCGGGACATTTTGAAAGGAAATCGCACGTATATTGACTATACATATATATAAATATATTGCATACGTTTGATGCATGCGAAATTTAATAAATATCGCACCAAGTTACCCAAATCTCACGAGTCGGTGAATGGCATGGTGCGCGTAGTGATTCGCTGCTTCGTTATCGTGTCACGTGACTACTACGTCATTTCACGGTGTCACTTTCCCCCGGGCGAAGAGGGAGGGTGCCGCTACGTGGCAGCACTAGTCAATTCGTACACTTCCGTCATTCCACAGTCATACTTCCATGCTAGACATGGCCTTATTTCCCTAACCCTAACCCTAACCCTAGCCCTAACCCTAACCCCAATCCTAACACTAGTGCTGCCACGTAGCGGCACCCTCCCTCTACGCCCGGGGGAAATTGACACCGGTCATTTCACGTGTAGCAGCAAGTGGGAACGTTTGTGACATAGCGAGCGTGATATAGCTGTCGTGTTACGATGTATTACCATATAGCTGCGCGGTATCTATAAAGAGAACTATACAAACAAGAAATGTCGCATAAACTGGTATATGTAGATAAAATACTGGAGGGAGAAAAAGGAGTTCAATGAGTATATTGAGAAATTTCTTTAAGCGAGTATATACTGTTAGATTACAGTGTTATATATTGTAATGCCCCTGTGTACTGCATCGAGCGCAAATTGTAACGTTAACTGACACAACCTTATAGCATAACAATAACTGTTAACGTTATAAAGTTTAGTGTATGTGTCGTGAAAAATAATCGAACAACAGTACACAGAGTAACAATTAATGCATCACACCCACACTGTACATCGTATATGCGACTATAGGTCATAGCTTTGACAACATATGCCACATGTTCATATTGCAATATTCATTGCCGCGTACCTTAGTATAACATCACATGACAGAGTTTTACCGTGTAACATCAAATGCAACAAGTTCATAGTGTAAAATGCATGGCCCCACATCTAACCCCACAACTCCCCACCACCCGCCCACTGACAATGTAACGTCCACGGCAACAAGCACACTGCCTAATGTGCAGCAAAGACACGGTGAAAAAATTCATTGAAACACACCATAGATATATACAACACAGCTATGCACAGCTATGAACACACCAACGATGTATTGTTCGCTGCCACACATTTTCCGTTTAACATCACACGCCATTGGCTCATAGTAAAACAGACCGGAATATGTCTGTGGTGCGTCGTTTACGTCTCCATTTCCATAGCGTACCTTTAATTAATGAAGTTACTCCAATTAATCGCGCAATACGCGCAATTACTCCATTAATCGTGACAGGTTCATAGTGGTAGGTCATATGCGCGAAATGCAAGTGATAAAATTAAGGATCAGTGCGGAATATTAATTGTGCATCATTAATGGTCACGTGATTTTAGCGATCGCGCAGGAATCGACGCCACGAATCGATGGGTTTACCTTTTTTTGTCCAATACCAGCAAACATTAAATCTCTTTGGCTTTGATGAAAAGATTCGAATTTAATAACGGTAATCGATTAAAAAAAATTATTGCCATGACATGCGCCATTCGTGAATGGATCCTATTATATTTTGTGTATGTTACACATACACAAAGCCGTGTTCATCACATGGTACACAATAGCAATGGTGTAGGTATTGGATTCTTAAAAACCAATGTACAAATGTCAAAATGTACACACGCTACATAAACGTTATTACAAAATTATTACAGATTAATGTTTCTTACTTGAAGCATTGCATATCAAAGAATGTAAGGGTTTCTAACTCACAAAGTAACAATGGCCTTACATATAAGAACGTGAGAAACAGAGTCGACATTTAGTTTAATTTTAGTGTAATAAAAAATGTGTTTACGTCGGTCGTCGTTCTTGCTGTTCGTGATTCGTGATGATTACCTTCTAGAATTTATCGTTATAGTGCGAGAACAAAAACTATTGCATCGTACATTTTGTTTAACACCGATTTTCACACAGGTTTTTAGGGTATTTTGGTGATTCACTTGCAATTTTCGTGCCAAAACATAGTTGGAACTGGGCTTAATTACTGAGAACTGTAAAATATCCAAGTATTTGCTGCGAACTAAAATTTATGGTATCTCACCAGAATCCCGATATAGTCTGAGGCGGACATCTTTTCCAGCGGAGGAAAATCCAGAGAGACATGATACAAGATTACGCTAAATTTGTAATATGGCCACTGATCTCTATTATACTATCTTTAGTTAGTATAACAGAGATCAGTGAACATGGCCCACACAGTGGCACACGACCAAGCCATCAAAATGGCAATCTTTCACAACTTGTCCTCCTTTGTAGTGAATCGCAACAACATGCTAAATTGACACGAGCAGTATATCGCGTACACTGAAAACAGCAGCGATATTCACTCGTCTCGTATTTGTCATTTGTTGTATATCATACCATATATATATATATATAAATTATACTACTCACAGTGTTAGTAGTAATAGTATATATATTCGCATGATAGTGGCGCCGGCGTGTGAGCGTATAGTAAGTCGCTGGTGGCGCCATCTTCTCTCGGCGCGTATTGCTGCTGTCTATGAGCGAACAATTATTGTATGCCACTTTCGCCTATAAGTGCAGATGATTTATAACTTGAGATGTGGCACCCGCCCACGCCCGTTAAACATAAAGAACATATTTCGACCGTAGATGTATCCATTGATCCTGCTAATATCGCCTTTCACATCGAACATTGCCATCGATCCCCATAACCCTCTCCTACTCTTTGCGGTTGACTGGTACGGGCGCATTATTATTTACTCGACAGATCACATACGGTACCGACGTTATTATTCCCGCACGGTGGCGCCTATTGTCCGCGCGAAAACATGATGGCTGAAAAATGGCCGGTGATTCGCGACGGAGCCCTTTCGGCGCATGCGTAACCTCGTTGACCGAGCTGCCGTGAGCGAGCTGTCGTGTAGCGAGCGACGCAAGATCGTAGCGTTGCATGCACTGCATGGCACACACCAATCGTCTCTGTGTGTGTGTGTGTGTGTGCGTGCGTGCGTGCGTGCGTGCGTGCGTGCGTGCGTGCGTGCGTGCGTGCGTGCGTGCGTGTGTGTGTGT